GGCGGCAATGGCGAGAGTTCTGAACGCCTCATTAGCCGTGGGTCGAGATTAGCCCCCCCCCCGCCACACCCACAGAAGACCCCTCACCAAAGAACACGGACGAGTCGCGGCACTGATAACGGTCCGCCGTCTGCGCCGATAAGAGATGCCGCCACATGGGTTTATCGGTGCGGATCTAGTGATCTGTGGTCTGAGATGGGCTGCAGGCTTCCAGTCCCTTCACCGCTAGCTGACCGGCCAGCCGTGCAGGTCGCTGCTCCTGGCCGACTTCGGATCAGAAGGTAGCTCGGGCGCAGACAAAACGACGACTGCCCTCCCTGGCCCAAAACGTGCCCTGATGACGACTTTGCCCGCTTGTCAGGCTGTGACGTTAATGGCAACTGGCTGCCTGAACATTTTGGGCAATTTAACTACAGCAGATTATAACTTATCTCAGCCCTAAATTGCAGAGCATCTGCAATTCTCAGTTCATGATAGATATATGTTCTACTCCCTATATGAGGTTATTCTGTAGCCACTATTACCAAAAAGGTAATTACTGAATGACATCCAGTTTCCATATTCATTCCATATAACACATACAAACACAAAACACTCATGTTTACCTGTAAAGGCAATTAACTCTCAATGTAGTGAGACTTGGGACCAAGTAAATGTATGCAGATTTAGATTGATTCTGTGCTGCTTGCAAACATCCCTTGCCAGTCTCGGCATGTGGTTCAGAACATTCCAGAAAACACCGATTTGGACTTTTATCGAATGAGCTGCCTCACTTCATGTTCTGCCACGTACCACATGCACAGCCAGCAGCCGTTTACTTATTCTTGTTTATAAATATGTGAAGTTGTATGTATTGAAAAGCACTGAAAAGAGACTGCTGCTATTGGTGGAGGGGTATTGAAGATTAAAAAATGCTGGAGGGAGCCACCTTACTAGAAGAACCCCCCCCCACCCCCCATACCTGGCTTCTTGTACCAATGGTTCTGATGTGAAAAACGAATCTGCGTAGAAAAGCACACGGTGTTCCACTCTTGCTGTTCTGCACTTACTAGAATTACTGAAAAACAAGCCAAGAATGTAGGTAGGACCCTACCTCGTGTAATAATAATAATTACGAATGAGAAATCATTGTGATGCAGTGGGGAAGAGAGGTGCGGCGACAGGGTGAGAGGCCAGGGGACACTGTAGGTCTCTGCTGGCCCCTGATAAGAGTTTGTTTACCTTCCTGTGGATGGTTAGCCCTCCGTCTGCAGCCAAGGAAACTCTTGGACAATAGGTGTGTAGAGCTGTAGCTGGCGGGGCCTCTCGCCCTCTGTATTCCCCCCCCCCCTCCCCCACACACACCCTGACCCTGGGCTACAAACAGTTCGTTCCTCCGCCCCCAGAGAGTGGGCCAGGCTCCACCTGCAGAAATCCCGTTTTCAGAAAGAAAAACTGTCAGGTTACAGCAACCGGTGGACATCTGTATCTAGGTATTTACCAGGGATGGGAACAAGTCCTTGGCGAGTCCCAGTTAACTCTCAAGTCAAAACATTGCAAGTCCAAGTCAAGTCTCAAGTCATGTGCCCTCAAGTCCAAGCTGAGTCCACATCTTTCCATCATTTTTGCTGTTGAGTCACAAGCAATCCAATTTGTGACTCAAGTCCGAGTCGAGTTGTGAGTCATGTAACTTGAGTCCCTGCCTATGTCAGTTTTTATTTAACTTTAAGTCATTAAAACTTGCTACAGCAAAAACCCACTGCAATCAGGTCCAAGTCCTTTGCCCTCAAGTCCAAATCGAGTCCAAGTCTTTCCATCAGTTTTGCTGAGTCAAGTCACAAGTCATCAAATCTGAGACTTGAGTCCAAGTTGAGTTGTGAGTCAGTAACTTGAGTCCCTGCCTCTGCTATTAACATGTAGTGGTGGACAACAAAATATAAAACGATTATACCTTTTGTCTGGTAAAGTTTTGTTTAGCAAAATGAAAGTGCAGATGTGGTTAGCCGTAGTCTTTGTAAATTTATCAGCTAGTGGAAAAAGAATAATAACCCTTTGAAGAACAAACAAAAATATGCTTTGTCTGGTAAAATTTTGTTTTGGAAAACTAAAGTCCAGAAGTAGGCAGTGTGGTTAACCATAGTCTTTGCAAATTTACTACCTGATGAGAAATGAAAAACTGTTTGCTAGGTACAGACTGAGAACTCGTTTTTTACAGCTGAGTTGAAATTTACACTGGATGTGCTGCATTGTGCACCATGCATTGAAACATACAATTTACAAAGGTGCCGGCTAATGTCACAGCTGGTAAACTCGATGTTTTGCATGCTGATGAAGGATAACCTGCTGCATTTGCTGAGATATTTTAAATTCGACACATGAAGGTGTAAAGTTCCTCTAGCAAACTTCAATGGAATGGGGTGAATTTTACAGACAAATAAATCAGAAGAGTTAGTGTGATGCACATATTTATAAATGCACCATCACAAACTACTGAATATCAGATGCAGCTATTGAGATGCAAATTTAATGCAGTTGAAGGATTCAAATGCAAATTCAGTATTGCTTGTGACTTTGGATTGGATGAGGTGTGATAGCTGTGAGGGAGACTCCTGATCACTCTGTGAAGGAGGGTCACTGTTTCTGGAAGCTCTCTCTGTACCTTCAAACCATCTCTTGCTCATGTACCGGGAAATGTGAGATCCTCGCATCAAATATTCTTTTGGCTGCACTTCAGCAATCTGTTTGCCTCGCTGACCTGCTGCTGCGTTTCCGTCCACAAGAAATATGAATTAACAAAATTTTGTATTAATAGACCATTTATCAATCATAATTCGGGGCAAGGTTTTATACCTACAGGGCCGTGCCTAAATTTTGCCAGTAACTTTCACGGATAATTCACTTTTTTGACTAATCCAATGTATACGCTTCAGCTGAAATCTACCAGTCCTCTGCTGACTCTGATCTGGCTTGTCACTGGTCTTATCACAGTACACATTCCCTGCTTCTAACGCAACAATTAGTCATTGAAGTGAGACATTCAAGACCCGTATCTGCTCTTGCAGTATGTGGCGGACTTTGCGCGACATGACGAGTACAAATAAATACTGAAAATCGGTTAAATCTTGGCCACTTGAGGCATTTGATAGCTCGTATCTTTGTTAAGGCTGTAAGTACTGCCAGAATAAAGAACTCTTTAGCAAAACCCCACCAGTACAAAATAGCACACTTATCAATGGTCTGGAGATTCCTACAGCTGTTCCTTAAACTCTGTAGTCCCCCCCCGCCCCCCCCATGTCATTCCGGTTTTGCCATTTGCTGTGTGGCAGTAGCATTGTGAGATATACCGCTCCATTTGCTTCACATCGATTCAGGGTCGACTTCCCTGATGAGACATTCGTCTCGTCCTAACAGCAGGTCAGCGGGTTAAACCGAATGACGGGTTAGAGGCAGACCCAGGCAGTGGATGGGGAAAAGGGAGACGTACAGAATAAACTGTGCCCATCACTGCAGTGTTGACAGAACTCAAGGAACCGCATTATGAGATGGTGGCGATTGGGGGGTGTATATAACCTGGGGGCTGCCGTCATCTCTGGGTCTCCTACAGGCGATAAACATTTACCGCATCTCTCCCAGAGACTCCAGCCTGTGTGCAACGCTGCCGCATAAACATTTGTTGTCATGGAAAACAAAATTGAAGTCACTGATCGAAAGAGATAACGTCGGAGGGGAATCCAGTAACTCTCATGCCTCATTTAGCGTAGAACTGCTCACTGAGATGACTGGCATTTCCGGGTCAAGACACTGGGTCAGCAAGGCAGGAGAGTGCAGCCTCGGCGGGCACATGGGCATGTTTCTCTGGAGGGTTAGTCTGAAATTAATGTAAACATACGTATGTTCTCACATGCTCACGCGAGGAATGAACCAGCCGTCGTCTGGACAGATGAATTCGGCTGTCTGGCTGACAAACAGTGTTGACGTAAGGCTTTGTTTACAGCTCCGGTCTCCTTCCTAAAGCAGGCAGCGCGCTCACATCTACTGCCGTTGGCATATCGTCTAAACAGGGCATTTCCTATTGCCCCCGGAGACAGGAAGATGTAGAGCAGGGCCAGAGCCCGATGGAGCCATGTCTCTGAGCAGGGCGGCTTTCCCAGCATTCTCTGTCATGGATCGGAAAATCTCTTACATCAGGCGCGGCTTGAATGGAGATGGACGGACGCTCTGCTCTGTTTTGCATTTTCAGAAATGAGGGGGTGCTGTGGAGTGCATTGTGAAAGGGTCAGTCTGGCATTAGCAAACAAAGGAAGAGATGTGTTACATATTAGAGATTGTTGCACATCCTCTAAAGCAAACATGATACAACTGTATTCACTGATGGGCCAAAACATTATGACCACTCCCAGCAAGGCTCTATGATGTGTTGTGACACATCGCAGCAGTGACCATCTTCAAAATTACCTGCAATTTGTGCCACAGAAACCTTCTGTTGGTTTATACCAGATGCTCCACCCCTGGCTCCGTGTGACATGTCTAAACATCCAATCGGTGTGGTTTAGAAAAGGAAGCTAAACTCACGCCTGAATGTCTATGAACTATGCAAACCAAACTGCAAGGCTGGATTTCTAGACTGGCAGTTTGTGGTCGTGATTACGACCCTGACCTCGTGTCTGAGCCCCACCCGCGCCATCACTCTGCAAGGCCAGAGTTTTTTTTTGTACTGATGAAGTGACTGTCACATGAACCCCTCACTGCCATGACAGACTGCTCATACATCTATATCTGAGCATTGAGTTCAGTCATCCATGTGGACTCACAATTATGATGATGACGATAAAAAGATTATTATTGTTGATTGGTAATTGTAGCTGTGTGATCATCATCATTAATATTTTAGTGTCAGAGTCACTGAAATGCTGTTCTGCGCTGGTCTATAGTTTTTCACTAAGCCTATTAACTGGTTATTCACATATACCATTTACGATACACTAGACCCACCCACCCCGCTGGAAGACTTAACTGTCCAAATTCAGTTTGTCTTGGACAGTGAGGGTGGGGTATGAAGCTTGCCGAGAGGATGGTGGCCTATGGCCGCCCATATGGCCTACAGCCAAACTCTTCAAATCTGGACCTCGATTCCAAATCCAGGCCTTGTTTTCAGTTCTCCCAGGTAGTTAGTGTAATAATTACTGATTCTGATTGGTCAGAGGCTTCACACCTGGCTCACAGGTAAAGGAAGGCTGGACAATCAGCAGGGCTCGAACCTTGAGGACCGTGATTTGGCCTACTAATTCCCTTACTAGGTCAAGAAGCACGTTGGTGGCTAAAACACCTGCCTTAACTGAGCACCCCCTCTCCATTGTGTCATACTGCTTATAACTCTGAAGTTAAATAAGTCATTTTGCCACAGAAACGTACTGTAGTGGGAGGAAAATAACGCCGGGGCCAATGGCTGCGTGGCGTGTATGTCGCTGCTGCAGCGCTGAACTGCACGTTTGTCCACATCATCTGCGCTGCTGCTGCTGCGGTGGGGCGTCTGTCTCACGCAGGTAGTGGCTGCTCTAATATAATCATGAGCACTGAAATGAAAATGGATACTTTGTGCTGCCGTGACACGTACCACGCAGCCAGTGCATCCCGGGCCTGTATCTGCTTTGTGGCAGCGACACAGTGTCCAGATTGGGCCCTGGGAGATGGACAGTCTGATTGGGCCCTTGGAGATGGACAGTCTGATTGGGTCCTGGGAGATGGACAGTCTGATTGGGCCCTGGGAGATGGACAGTCTGATTGGGCCCTGGGAGATGGACAGTCAGATTGGGCCCTGGGAGATGGACAGTCTGATTGGGCCCTGGGAGATGGACAGTCAGATTGGGCCCTGGGATTGGGCGTGGCTGACCTCCTCCACACTGAGGCACATCGGCCAACACACCCCCGTGTTCTGCCCAAATATGTCCACTTCAGAAAGGTACCGATCCGGCTCCATGCTGGCAGACTCCAGGCGCTTCTTGTTTTCTTTGCCGGGAGTATTTATTGACCCTGTGTAAGTTATTCCCTGGAGGACTAGTAAATCGTTTCAACAGCTCGTTCGTCTGCTTCAACTTGACCTCATGGTTAGGCTTTGTCCCTCCCCCTCCCCCTCTGCACCCCCCAGTGCGGACACATCCTCACTAAATCACCAGAGGACCTTTAGAGAGCAGGCAGGGTCTGAGGACCACCCCCCCCCCCAGTCAGAGAATTTCGAGCTTCCCAAAGAAGATCATGTCTGCCACCTGACAAGTGTATCCTATAACGCAATATGGTATCACATTAGCACATTAGCATTTGTTTATTTAGCAGATGTGTTTGTTCACTGCAATGTACACGTGAATGAAGTACGATGAACGTTGCAGTGCATTCTTACTGGTGAAGAAAGATCTGCTTATTGACATGGCTGACTCTCACTCTCACGCTTCTGCCAGACCTCCGAACTGCTGGTCTGGATCCTTATGTGATACACAACAGGAAAAACAAGGTGTCAGTTGTGCGAAGAGCCGTAATCAACGTCCCCCTTTCTCTTCTCTTGTAGAATACCCAAGAACTTGTGAACCCCTGGAAAAAACAGATAAGAGACTCTGGAGTGGTGAGGCCCAGAACATTTCAACTGCCTGCCAGAGCAACTACAGCATGAACAGTTACGAGGTCCACATTCTGAGCCTGGAGTTCACCGCTACGGACAGCAATGTAAGTTAAACCATTGTGTGACCACAAATAAAAAACTATTATTTTACAACATGTTCCATTAGGGTATCTCTACTGCTTGTCCTCTCAGTTAAAAAAAAACTCATCCAGACACATTATGAATTAATTATAGTTGCAATACAGGTTCAACTTTATGTCTCGAGGCAAGGTATTACTTTAAAATCAATATCAACATGAATTTCCTTCCACAGATAATTGCAGTAATTGAAAAAGTGATATAGAAAGGTAAAATTGTTTTTAAGTATCTTCCTGGCATCTCGTCTGGTTAGTCACACGACCGAGGACAGAAACAAGTGATGTTCAGAAGGCAAATGAGAACTGCGATGTGTTTAGAAGCTTTTCCACTGCCACCAAGAACCGAACCGTACCTGAGCCGTAACCGAGCCGTACCAGAGATGTACCAGAGACGTACCGCAAAGGCACGATTTTCCATTGTAAATTATCTGAGCCGTACCCACACTGACATGGCCGAAAGTGTGATCAAATCGCGTTGGTTGCATCACCACCATCTGATTGGTTGAAGTGCATAGAGATACTGGTGATTTGCATCGATGTGTATGGATTATCTGAAGGAAAAATGGTCATATTCTATATATTAATCATTAATACTAGTATTGCACATCGCGATGTATCGATGTATTCCAGATATCTGACGACTTGACAATTTCCAAACACCTGCTTAAAAAAGTACTAGAGATGGGCTGAACAGAATGGATTCGTAATGCGGATTTATGCAAGTTAATGCTAATTCTGCTAGCATTTAATGATAACGTAACATGGCGATTCTCACATACATGCTAGTGAAAATTAGAACATAGTAAATCATGATGTACACAGTTTCTCTTTGTTTTTTTCATCACAAACCCAAACCCAGCAAGGCCTTTACTGAGCCTACCTTTCTGCAGTGGAAAATTGAAGCGAACTGGAACTGCACTGTAACTAGTGTCTCTTCACAGTGCGGCTCGGGTACAACCTGGTTCCGGTTTGCCAAGTGGCCATTAGAGGTAGAAAGCAGAATGGAGGGACTTTAGTCAAACAGAACCCTTTCCGATTGACCTGACAAAGGTCAGAAAGAAAAATATAATTTGTTCCAAGTCAGTAGCTGTATTGTGACTCCTGTACTAATGTGGTTACACACAGTTAATTTTTTACCCTTTGTAATCACAGGTTAGAGCAATGGATTTATTTTTTTTTCTCGATGTGGCAACTAACTGACAAGGATAAACGATGAACTGAATGATAATTGTTTCACATAAATTGTTGCTGAACTGCATTGAGGTAAATAAATCAGAAAAATAAACTGGTTGGCTGCTACATTCTGAGAGAAACCTTGCTGCACATAAAGTTAAGAGGCATTTGTGATGCTCCTTCATGACAAGGGAACAGCAGACCATGGGCTCCATGAATGTCTGTTGCTTAGAAACCCCACATGTTTGCTTGGAGTCAGCAACTTCTTGCTGTTCAATATTTTAATATCTACATTTATTTAGCAAACGGTTTTACCCGAAGCAACATGCATTTCTTTGAGAAAACTGGGTCAAACAATCCTTGGAGCGATTGGGGATTACGGACTTTACTCAACAGTGAAATCACACTGTGGACGCCGGGATTTGAACTGGCAACCTTCCAATCGCAGACATAGCTGCCTATTCTGCTGAGCCCTACACTACCCCCAGTGTGATTTACGATGAAATCATTTAATGTGGCGTTAAATTCCATTTTCATAACTGCAGTGACACTGCCATTGTTTTCAGTGTCTTCCAGGTGGCTGTAGACAGTGGGGGTCTTTGGGAGCCAAAAACAATTGGTGGGTGACCCAGGGCTTAGGGAGGGGAGGGTGGCCTTCACTTGGGCATCAGCCTTCAGGCCATGTGGCCACACCCTCATTTCTTCCTCAAGTGACCTAGCGCCCTGCTGCCGGAGTTTGAGATGAGGTGTAGACAGGAATAATGGGAAGCCATGCACCAGGCAGACCGACAGAACAAACTGGTCTGAAAAGGAAAACAAGGACATTAAAAGCCCTGGAACCAAAATAGCCGCACTGAGTAATCATGGGCTGTAGTGTTCATTGTGTGACGAGGTCCAGAGATGGAGTGATGGAGAAAATGGACAAAAATGCTGGGCTGTTCCACTTCAAAAACCGGTGAGAAAAAACTAAACAAAATTAATGGTTTTATTGTTTCCCGAAGGCTTTGATTTCCATATTAAATATAGTAACTGGCGAGCATACGAGGCCACATCACCACTGGACACATGCGACGTGGATGCTGGAGTACGGAGAGAGCAAGACCTGATTCATTCATCATGCTTTCATCTCTTAGTGCCAACTTTCCAAGACAGTGATTGAGTAACCTAAATGTCACAAGATAATCAGCCTTGTCAGGGAGGTCGCTCTGCCTTCCTCCTCCGGAGGTCTTGCGTTCCAGACAGCTCACCTATTTGAGGCGCTGGGGGGGGGGAGGGGGAGAGGAAATTCCAGGACATAAACAAGGAGGAATGTTCTGCTGGCCTTCCTGTGAATCAGCTATCAGCTTCCGTCCTCTGCAGCCAGTTCAAGGGAAGTCTGGCTGTGGTTTATTGAATAGGAATCACGCCGACAATGGATTCTGAGCATGAAAAAACAGGAATGTCTCTGACTGAGCAAGATGGAAGAGAGTTCTTTCATGTACAGAAATGTCCACCAAGACATGAATGAAAATGCGTCAAACCTTGGTTTGGTTATGTATTATTATCGACAGAGTGTGTCACTATTGAAAGAAAAGTGGGAAAAGAGAGAATTAGAGAATGATTATATTTGTTTCAATAAGGACTCCAAATATAGCTTTGTTGCAGTAGTCAAAGACTGGGATTTTACTCGTCTGTCATACACAATTGCTCTAAATTACTGCATGATGTCAGATCTAAACAGTCATGGAGATGGTTTATTTATTTTTTTATTTTGGTAAATTGGTGAGAGAGAGTGGACAAGCTCTGTAAATGCTAGCTGGCAGCAACAGATGACAGATGACAAGTATATTCGGAATAAAACTGGACCATTGCCATCGACGTGGGTTTCATGTGGAACTTGTGAGCGGGGGAGGGCAAGGAAGGCCCTCTGGACGTGTGTGACTTCGGACGCCAAGGGGGACACTTCCTTAGTGTCCCCACATTCCACACCCTCCAGGCGCTTGGCGATGTCATCGGCTGTTAGAGTCCTATAAAAAGAACTGGAGCAGGAAGTTCAAACACAATTTGAAAGCCTGTTGCAGACGCACAGAGGAAGCTGTAAAAAAAAAAAACATCTGAAAAGAAAAACGCAGAAAGTGACATTAATTAAAGAGCTTTGCAGTAAAAACCAGAGAGTTGCGACACTGCATCCAGTTCCCCCAGCGTGATGTGGGCTGTTTTAGCTGTTTAGCTTAGCCGGTCTGTGTGCACTGATAATTCTCCATGCCAGGCTAGACAAACGCCATGATCGTAGCCATGCAGAACCTGTTCCGGTCAAGCTTGTTAGCCACCGTGAGCGACAGATAAGGCAGCGGTGTTAACATTCCTGTCAGCGCGGAGCGGAGTGCCGGCTCTTCACGGCGGAGAATCCTCGCCTTCGGCGTAGTGAGGTCTCTGCTGGAAACGTGTGCTGCCCCGTCTGCTTCTCCCCGACCCCCCTTTGCCCCGGAGCTCTCAGTCTATCAGGACTCCAAACGGTGCAGGTGCCGGCTTGACTAATCAAGAAGATGTACCGTTTTCCTTTGAAATCGGCGCGGCCTAGGAAATGTCGAGGAGAGAGTCTAATTGAAAATGAAGTGATTCTGTAACATCCTTTCATTTTAAAAGATGTCAGTTGCAGTTACAACACTACAAACGCTTGGCATAAAATAACAGAAAATTCTAATTTCAGTGTTCTGTTGAGTCTTTTGACAAAATCAAATTCTTCGTCTTCACTTAGTTATTTGCATATCAGATTTTTAAGCGTAGAGTTATTTGACACAGCAGGCAGACAGGATTAATTGCACCTGTAGGAAACTTGGCATTGGTGTAATTTATGCCTGTGTAAAAGGTTATTTCATTTGGAAACTGGCAGTTTAGAAAAAAAAGTGTTAGATATGTTTTATGTATGACATTTTAGAGGAGAAGGATCCCTTTACTGAGGAAACCAGACAAATTCAGAATCATGGATATCTGACTGAAAAAAAGATACATGTAGATATTATGCATCAATTGGTACATATCGGGCCATAAATTCTCTAGCTGACCCAGACAAAGATGTGGAGAGATGACATTGGCTAGTATTAGATGAGCTGTTGACCTTTAGGCTGTTGACCCAGATTTATGGACAAAATATGATTTGAATATTTGCTGGATTCTACTGTACAGGTGCGCACAATTTTTATGTTGCAGAAAGAAAGAGCCCATTGCAGAACAAAATAGCTGTTCAGATCCTGAATGTTCTTAGAGTCGGCAGCTAGTGATTTCGGCGAGGGTATGTCGGCAAGACCTGACAAGTCATTTCCAAGTAGACTGAAGGGGCGTGCAGCTGTTTGAAGGAACCAAAACTGTTTTAAAAGTGAAGGGCACTTTTCCCTTTCCTTTTCCCTGTCTCTGTGTCATTGTGGATAAAGAACTCTCAGGTACCTAAAGTCACGCACATTAAGTGTCCAGTGCAGTGTCTGACATCTCAGAAGTACTTGCCAAAAAGGTCCTTGAGCGAATAATATTTAACGATCAATATTCAGTCTGTGATTTTAAATTAATGAAGCTCTTTCTCATGGTAACATCAAAAACATCAAGAATTTCAGCACCAAGCAGTGTCACATTTTTATATTTACATTTATATCAGAATGTAGTGAAATATGTAGTTGTAACAATAAATATTTATTAGCTTTGATTTAATAAATACTATAAAATACATATAAAGTAATTGATAAAGTATTTATATTCTTGCCTGAGCTTTCTGACATTTAGCTTCCGTCTTGTGCAAAAGGTAAGCCGACTGTGCATTATTATATAAAAGGGAAGCATTCTATAGCATTCCACTGTGATTTTTGGAAACTTGCATCAGACAGCATTAGGTGATTGAATAACGTGTTTGCCCAAATGTTCAGTGCGTTTGGGCAGCCAGTGAGGAGTTTTCTGTGTAACTAACATGGTTGTATCAAACATGGATCTATTCCTGAAAAAACAAAAGCATGTGGTAAATTTTTCAGCATTGCAGTGTAAAGGGCGTGTAAACAGTGTGTGTTACTTCGATCAGACGCAGTGAGCACGGGAGCCGCACTACCTCCCTGGCGATTGGATGGTGAGGAAGAAGTGGTTTGGCACGGCCCAGTGTGTGAGCAGCGTGGGGGGAGGTTTTTGTCCCCTCCTGGACATATTAATTGTGAATCATTCCATTTCTTGGCACACAACTGAAGAAAGTGGAGAAGTCATGTTCGAATTCCAGTGGAGCTAAGGGCAGCTGAGCTCCTCTGAAAAGGATATGACCTCCCCTGAGACCACTAGAGGGAGCTCTAAAAAACTGCCCACTTTTGTGTTATAGGTTATAATTTATTTTCTGTACACCAAGGTTCCTGAAATAAAATTTAAAAAAAAACATTGTAACAGTGTAAATATGAGCCGCGAGCCGCAGACAGCTGTTTTATTTCACTGTGGTTAAAAACAAGTCCGCTAAATAATGCTCAGTTTTTTTTTCTCCAAGTGATGTGTTGTTCTTGAAGGGGTATGTATGAGAAGCAGAAGATGTTGCCTGTGTCCTTCTGCTTTGCGATTTTGCTTTGTGTTTTTGCCCTGATTAGGCTATTAGACTTCCTCCATGATTCTTATGTTGTTGTTACTGTGCCTAAATGAAATGTTACCGTCAGTATTAACTGCCCGCAGTAGTAATAGTAGAATGTTTTTCACCGTAGCCTGTTACTAACTGCGCTGCTGTGCACATATATGTACGCACGTGCATGTGGTTGGGGAAGACATGGTGCACACCGAAAGCTGCTGTGTAATTCGAACCCTGGGAGAACTTAGGATAGACGTGCGTTCGTGAGTGATGGTGCCTCACTGTGACCTCCAGTCACAGACGAAAAATGTATTTATAGCAGTCTACCTCATTTCTTTATAATAAAGACTCATTTCCTGTGGGACCGTTTTTGAATTGTTTCTGCATCAAGCAGCTCCCTAAAATCCACATGCTATTTAAGCTGCACAGAGGATCATTGGTATGTGAAAATCCTGTTCAAAAGAGTGAGTGTATTTTCCTTTTGTTTACTGAATACAGGTTTCTGTCATCATTTAGAAAGCATTTAAAAGTAAGAGATGAAAGCCTTTTACATTTACTGTTTGAAGTCTAACTTCTGTTTTTCTTTTATTTTATAGTCGTCTGATATGTTACTCAACCTGACTGCGATGAAATCATCACATCTGATTGTCAGCAGCAATGTCAGGATTTCCATCTACGTCAGTGCTTTGGAAAATAAAGAGCACCTCAATATCGTAAGTGTGACTTCTCATCCATTTATGCGGCCTGCTTTTCTTTCAGTTCAACAATAAGTTCTGTTTCGACTCGATTTATTTATTCAGTGAACCCGTCATGGGGATTGACGTGTCTTTCTGGTCTGTTCTTAATTGATTATTGTGGAGTATTGGCTGTCCCTTTTGGATAGCTGGGCTCCAAATCGCGAGAGGAAACGTATCCTGCTTTGTGTTTTTTTTTTTCAAATTCTTGAATTCAAGTTAGACAAATATTTTAATTAATTCATGCCATTTTCATTAGGAAACTTTGTTTTGAAATAGTTAAGTTTGGGGCCTTTTAAAGAGACCAGTCACTCCTCCCAAATGTAGACAAGGGCCTTGCAGCTCAGACCGTGGTTTGGATCTAACCAGTCCCATAATGCAGTGGGATTTGTGCACCAATGAAACAGCGGACTGGTGTCGACAAAAGGGCATGGAATGTAAATTGGGGGGGTGAATGAAATGGGGCAACAGGAGCCAATCCAGCCATGGGTGTCCGTGTTTAGTTTTTGCTCCGTATACCAATCTGACTCCCTTTCAAAGAAGCTGCTAATGAGGCCGTGGCTTAACATAAAATGATGTGACTCTTTGATTCAAAGAAACAGTTTTAGCAAAGCAGGATGCTCATATTTTGTTGGCCGCGCTACTGTAATTACATAGCCTATGTTTTGTCAGGAACTTTTAATCAAAAAGCTGGAATAATGCAGTTTAATGGATGGGTAACATTCTCTACTATAATGGTGACGATTTGATGAAAAGGAGTATGAACATAATTTTGTTTTTTGTCTGAAAGTTCAATTTAATGTGCTGGTGGAGAAACGCAAGTCAGACTTGGGCTGTTATACAGTTATGCAGTTCATTTGATTCGTTACCCAGAATCACTCAAAGATGGATATTTTCCTGAAGCTCATTGGACATTAAAAACCACAATTTGCAGCCTTTTAAAAAGGCATTTCAGGACATAGGGAGTTGGTGACCCGTACCTTTCCCTTAATCAGTCTGCGATTTGGTCTCCATAATGAGAGATGACAGTGACTTGGATTCTGTTCCAGTCCCCACTCAATGTTGATAACTCACGACCTTGTGTGTGTGTGTGTGCGTGTGGGGGGGGGGGGTCACCCATTTACCACCTGACCCATGTCGCACTTTGTTGCCACGCCAGAAGCCCTCGCTGGGGTTAATGAAACCGGTGGATCAGAGGGCATATGGACCCACCTCTGAAGGCCATATCAGTCCACCAACCAAGGCGTCAGGAAGGAAGTCTGGCTGACATTTTCTGGAAGATTCTGGGGCCTCATCCTATTGCGTCATCATATCTTGTGTGTCAGTTTTCCAAGCAAGATAAACCTCAGACATAAAACCAAATCAGTTATATTTTCCCTTTTTCCTTATCTTCTTATTTTCCACCTTCTGTCTTTATTTGTCATATCCTCATATTTCAGCGCCTCTGAATTATATTCAATAAAAACAGTACAGACTGAACAGTGATAAGACAATGACAATCCTTGGCAGTCTTGAGACATGTTCGACTATGTAGTATTTTCTGAACTCTACACGCATCACACTGAGGGAAATTATTCCATAAGTTTTATTGTTTAAAGTTTTTGGAGGTATATAGAACTACTGAAGCAGCACATTTTCATTTCATTTGTCATGCCAGATGCACAATTGTCAGTTCAACTAAAGTTTTCTGGCACTTATGGAGTGGATGAGTGAACCCAGAGAGCATTCTTAAATTATTGCTCGGAGATCTTGATGTAAACAGTGTTAGACGATAGAAGGTAAATGTGTCATAAAGCTCTATAGACCATCTACAATGGGCAACATGAGGCATCCTTACATTATGGAGGACAAGAGTACAGACATGAGAGAGATTCTCTAACTCTGAGATCCGAATACACAAGCCAGGAGGTGTGAGGAGAAAAGCCAGCGTGCTGCCAATGGAAAAGCAAAACAACATTATAAAGTCATGTGAGGGCCAGCACCTATTGCTGCTGTACTTTTTAACTAAATTACAGCCTTTGGTCACTATTATATAGCAAAAGACTCATGGGGTGACATTCATGCATATATGTATGTACAGATAGACTCCAGTGGCTCACATTGATGCACAAAGTTAGATCTCATTTGTCTCCTGTCCAGGAAAACAAAGGAAAGGCTTTGCTTGAGGACCACAGATGCTTTACTGTAGTAAATCTTTCTTTTGGGCTCTTCTGGTCCTAGAATAAAGGGAAAGGATGGGGGATCCGTACCAGGTTGGGTGATAATTGGATGATTGTGCCGAAGCACCAAAGCGTGCCAGCAGAGAAGGAGCAGAGGCTCAAAGGTCACCCAACCTTCTGAGATAAAGTAGGAACTCAAAGACATTTTTAACCGGCAATTTATAATCGTTGGCTTTTGATTCTAATGGGTACCTGTGTTTTTCTTTTCTATGAATCATTAGTTGTTCAGCATCACAAGAAAACTCCATACTTAATGGCATGTTTACAAAGAGGTGATGCTTCCAGTTAGCCCTGAATATCTGGATATAGAAATATATGAAAACCAGCCGAAAAAGGGATACTTTTGTTGGAGTTGTGGTGACGTGCTTGTTGACCTAGACTTTGAGAGGGGAATAGATTGCTGGGGAGAATCAATTGATTTTCAAATGTTGAGGAGGCAACAGATGGAGTCTGTTACAATGCATCGGTATGTGTAGCATTGATTATTTTATTCTGATTACCATTAATGGTTTGGCAATTTTTTTTTTATCTCATTACTACTATTACCATATAAATCATCTATTCTAAGAACTAGGGGTGGGAATCGGCAGTGATCGGCCAAATCAATGTGTGTCACAATTGTTAAACAGATTTTGCTGAAGAGCATTACAGGTCTGTAAATAGTTACATTTATTTAGAAACTGTTCTTAATGTTCAGGGAAGAGGTATAGAGATATTCAGTGAAAGTTTACATTTCACACACTTGCAGTTAGTTATGGCTTTAAATTGAGATGGTGCCGGAAAAGTCTCTGCAGAGGCTTACGCATGATAGCACTGTGTCAAAATCGTGCATGTCAGTCCCTTAATGAAATCGAGCTGTGCAACTGGGCAAATATATTAGTAGTACCAAATGTGAATGACATAATTTCAGTAAATTTTTAAATTGATGTTTAGAAACTGTTTTTTTTAAACTTTAAACATTAAAATTACCACCTTGAAAGAAATCACGATTTGTAACAGAATCGATTCACTCCCCCCACTAAAAATTGATATCACCAGGCAAGTTAAGCCAAATGCAAGGATTGTAGGATATTTAAGGATGTAAGGAATAGATGTTAGAGATGTATTTATGCAAGCACCATCTGTCTTTAGTAACCAGCTTTTCAGCTCATAATTGTGGGGATCCAAAACTTATCCAACACTAATTTCTATGCAAGAAAAGCAGGGACTTTATTCAAACCAAGAGCCCTGAACCTGGGAAGTGAGAGCATGACCTTTGACCCGACACAATACTAAAGCTGCTTTGCTTCGTCCTACAGATAACAACCGATCAGGTGTCCACAAAAGGTCATGTATCAGTCCTGATGACCCTCCCTTCAAATGCAGAGGATCTCCTGAAAGGCGTCACAGCACTCTTCGGTGGCGTGACTTCTTCAACTTCGATTAAAGATCCAAAATCTATCAGTTTCTCTGGGGTACAAGGTATGTTCTGACTGACATGAGGCAATGTTCTCTAACGTGTCCCCTGAGCCAACTAAGATGAATCAGAATCGGCTGCTTATCTCTTTAGTAGAACATCAGCTGACATTTCAGAAGCTTTTCATGGCTAGGAACTGGTCCAGTAACATAATCATGAAGAAGTACAGAATTCTTCCACAGCTGAACATAATTAAGAGCACACACATACGTCTGGATTAAGTCTGATTACAGTTTCCCCTGCAGCCCAGTTAGAAAAAGTTGACAAGGATACTCATGGGGGTTTTACTCACACAAAAATATTCTGATGGCAGAAGGAAAAATTATTGGTTCAGAGATAAAACCAGTACCAAGAAACTAGAGGACGCTGGGCCAAGACATCTGATTGGTTAGTCCTGCCTCCTCCAGTTCCTTGGACCCTTGGTCTTTCTGCCCTCAGAACATTTTTGTGTAAGTAAAACTCCCACGACTAACAAGGACAGGCAACAAAATGCATCAGATCAATGGCCAGATTGTAAGCTTTGTTTATGGAAACACAGAATGCAGCAACTTGAACATGAACACAACGAGAGCTTGTCTACCTAAGATTATATGGCATTGTTTGGCTACGAAGAAGTTCTTCTTCCCTTGCTTCATTCAGCTAGTGGGACCACCCAGCCACCGACAGAACAAGCTATTGCAGATCTGAGCATCTGCAAGCAGTTGGAGCGGATGTCTTTTCAGATGAACTTATACACCTCCCCGGATTACACAGCCCCTGTAGACGTCACCACCCACGTTCAGATCGGCAAGCTCCTTTATGCAGAGGTGCAGTAGGTCTCTCAACACGTTCGCCATCTGCATGCTGCGAATGACTCCACACCAGTACTGGAAACTTAAAGTGTAAATTACACAGGACAACAAAATAAAAAAATGATCTTATACTAAATCGAGTGCGCTGATTGCAAATCTGAAGTCAGATTTATTGTAGCACATCAGGATTTAAAGTTTAGTCAACACGTTTAAAAATTTATCTGTACATTACGCAAAACTAAAACTTGGCACATCATCATCATCCCATTGATGCATTAAGAGTAGCAAAACTGAAGATTCAACTTGGGCTTATTGAATAGGTCTAGTGTTCAAAAGTGCTTAAAACTTTTGCTTTTGCGTTTGTGGATGGTAGTAGTATCCCGTTGTAGAAACCAACAGTAATCGCCCATCATGTTGGGATTAAAGTAGCCTTGATATCTTGTTTCCATGAGCGAAATATCTTGATGGAATCTCTCCCCATGTCGCTTACATCACCCAAATTTGGTGGAAAGCAATCCAGATGGGAGTGTAAAAAGTGCATTTTTAGAGACATCCGGCGACTGAGTTTCTGATATGCTGTCAGCATGTCGTTAACGAGTTCAACATAGTTTTCAGCTCGCTCGTTTCCCAGAAAGTTTTGCACTACTAGCACAAATGCATCCCAAGCAGCAAGTTCAAGTGGGTTGAGTAATGTTCTGAAAGTGGTGTCACGAATGACTTTGGGATTCTTGCGAAATACGTAAAAGCATTTCCATCACGATCCATTGATACAACAAATTTTTTCATAAGGCCCAGTTTTATATGGAGTGCAGGAAGGTAAACTTTCTGTGGATCGACTTATGCTGTACATTGTACCAGCCAACTGTGTCTTCAGTTCTAGGAGGCCAGTGTCTCTGTTGGTAATGATTTTTGTCATCATGACTATTCCACACGCACAAGAAGCACATATGTTTTGTGTAACTCAATTGTAAACCAAGGAGAAGCGATATTACTTTCAGGTCACCACAAATGTTCCAGTTGTGTGTTGAATAGTATAATCATTGCAGACTTAGCAGTGCTGATGTCAGCATACTGACCTGCCCAAACTTGTCTGTGAAATAGTTTCAGGGAAGTGTTCGATTCAATGGCTAGCAGACCTACTGATGCCAGCAGTCAAACAATAGATTCCTATGATCTTTACGCATAGAAGTTATTATGCATGAATTTTTGTATAACTTAAGATCCAGACGAGCTCAGATTTGGAATCAGCATACTCAATTTAGTATAAAACAGCTCTTTTTACTCTGGTAGCAAAATCTTGTTTTCCAGTGTTAGTATTACACGTATTTACCTAGGAAATCACTGCATGTCAATAAACTAAGTTAGCAGATGTTTTAAAGCAATTTGCTTTTACTTTTGCACATTAGATTAGCATGCTATTTGAAAAAAATTGGGTTGTTTTACTTAGGAACATAGCTTTTTCAGTTGTCGATTTTGATTCCTGAACCTCTTTCTCTGCATCCTAAGCAGACAATCCCTTGTCTTCTCCCTTGGGTTCTCTAGATTTCCAGCAGCATCACTCTGAGAGAGATCCTTCTCCATTTCAAAGTGACCAGCTGTTCAGTGTCTTCAGGCACTGACCATAACATGGTGTGGGATCTGCCCTTCACTGAGGTGCCCTGCCCTCCGCAAGCCTGTCGCCACAGCACCAGACTGAGCCTCTCCCCCATGGAGCCCCGAGAGCCGACCGCTGCCAACTGGGCCTTGGAGTGCTCCATGATGGTCTGGACCACTGAGGTTGGCTCACCTCCCACCATTGAGCTTCAGGGGACTCTCTAGGCCAAGGGCTTCAAACTCTTTTAATAACATGCTGCAATTCTTCAGACTTCGTAATTCCGCTAGCTTAATTGATTGTTGCTTAAGCATGTTCTCACTGGTACCCCAAAGCACTGATAGTCAATGTTTCTTGGACATGGGGGAATGTCAGGATGTTGTGTAATGTTAGAATTACAGTTGAGGAAAGGGTGGTTTTGGCTCATGCCTCCATTTGCATAGCACTGTATGAATGATAAACGAAGTACTTTAGCCAAAAACCTCTATACTCAGTCTGACTATAACTGAGTTCTGTTCACTGCCACGCCGATGGTCCATGTCAATCACGGTGCTGACCTACAGATAAGAATGTCATGCGGTGTGGCATTTTCCTGCTCGTCTTCTTTACGACACTGAATAATTTTAATCTGCAGAAATACATGTAATTAGTCAAGGGAAACCATGTCTAAAACCACTGTGATGGTTTGAACTTTATTTAAGCAAGCAATAAAAATTCTGATTAGGCTGACAGATTGTTTCTCAATAACTATTCGCAGAAAGTCTGAAGCATACGGACCTATATTAGTTTAGCATTTGTGTGGACCTGTATCTTTACTAATATGCTGGCAGTCTGATATTTAGTACGATGATTATTTATCTGTAATTGAACACAGTTGTACTGTATTGTACTCTGAAGGGAATGCCTCAAATGGAGACCACAGAGATAATTGTAGGCTAAACTGCAGGATAACTTTTGTTTTCATCCCATAAAGAAAAAGGTATATTATCACAGTACATATGCTTTTAAAAAGTGCATCGTTTTAGTCACCACCCAATTTTTTTCACCTAACAGAGTGATCGCCCCGTACCATGTGCATATTCTACGTCAGTGAAGCGAAACATTGAACTTACGCCTCCGTCCTTACATCCCGCACGTGAGTACAGTATCCATTCTGTTAAAGCTGTCCCGTAAGTACGTTCATACATTGCTTTCTCCTTTTTATAGTCCTTTCCACAGTGCATTGATGTTGCAGCACCCCTATGCACTGTGTCCAGATACACGGTACATAACACATTTCCTTTCAACTAAATTTGGAAGGTCCAGTAACATTCTGCTTCACATTTCGTGAACTAGGGTGAGAGGATGGACTCATTCTACATCCATCTGAGCCTTGGGCATTATTTTGCCTCATTCACAAGAGACAGATATAGGTACACATGTTCCAGAGGTCCTCCGTGTCAAATAATACCTGAGCTGAATGTCTATGTGACACTGTTTCAAATAATAGTACTTTGTACAGTCTGCCACTGTGGAAGACTGATTCTTGCTGATATGCCTTGTCTAGGCATTAGCTGAATGTCAGGGCTTCTCATTTGATCTGCTCACAGTCTTCTGGTCATGGTTGTTGATGGTGGTGGTCTTGACATCAGCTGGTTCACTTATTATCCTTTTGAGCTTGTTCCTAGTACAGGTCCTGACATTTTATAGGTTCCTTTATGGCTATGATGGCTACAATGACATTTTCCACCAGAAAATCTTGAGTTGTACTTCTCCGTGTTGATGTTAGTGCACTGATTTCTTTGTCTTTGGCTTTAAGTTAAAATTCATTCTTGGTTGTGTTTCTATTATTGGAATATTTATGAGTAGGTCTGCAGTGTCCAGTGTTGCTGCAAGAACTTGGTTCGAACAAATCTTTCTTCCAGTCTAATGGGAGATGATTTAGTTGACAATGGTTGTGGATTTAATTTTTATCCAATTATCTTCCCACCTGATATCCTGGTGAGGGTTGCAGGCTGGCACAGAACATAGCATGGTTGTGTTGACCAGAGGTGGACATTTCAGGTCCAGAAAGTAAAAATCCAGACCAAGACTTTGTTTCAACTGGAACAGGATACCAGTCTATGGCATGGAAAGCACTTGCAATTTAGAGATGCTAATTAACCGTAAGTGTTTCTCAATATGCATTCTTGACCGTACTTGTGTTCTTTTGTCCCCGTTTTATGTCATCTTCCATTACTGAAAACCAGTTCCAGTATTAAGAACAGAAGTACAGAGGATGGTAAAAATCCCTAAATGTCATTCTTGTCCCCCAAAATATCAAGGATACATGGTTGCATCCTTGCCAATCAAAACCAATCCCATGATTCATTGCTCCCCAGGTCGTTTTTGGAAGGCAAGTTAGCAAGTCCGGTCTTGCCAAGACCACAAGTAAGATCTTTGTGTTCCTGGTATTGAGAAACACCCCGTGTGTCTTTAGGCTATGTGAAGAAATTTCTGTAACATGGGGAGAATGTGGGGACTCCACATTCACAGAGGTGGGATTCAAACCCCCAACTCCGGAGGTGAAGGTCATCAGTACTTCCCATTCATCTCTTGTTTCACAATGACCATCCTGAATTTATAATTTTCTCCCCAGAGTAAATCTAAGGTTGAATCTAAGGTTTAATCTGTTCCTCTTGAAATGGGTATATATGGGAGTATATCTGGAGTAACTCCCAGAGATCTTGGCATATTTACAGACACCGTGAGTAGTCAGAACTGGATACGTTCACTTTCCATTCTTGATCAGCTGTGTGGTGACAGGAGCACCGTTCACTAGTTAGAAGCAGGCTGCTTCTGTTAGCAAGCTGTCATCAAGGTAGTGACAGCGAGGACAAGCCGTCGACATTTCTACGCATGGTGGATTTGCTCTACTTAATCAACGCTTTAGAGGTTGACTTTAGTGACTAACACAGTACCCGATTTGTGGCAAGACAGGGGATACCCGTATTTGGAATGAGAACTGACATCACCAAATGCTCGGTCTTCCTAATGGATTATAGGGGATATCTTTCCAAATATCATGATAATTTCTGCCTATTAAATGTGACACGGTGTCAAAGAAACTCTTTCTCTCTCATTTCACCCAGATAACCAAAAAGACCAGGTACCTCTGACGATGCAGCTGTTCATCACCCCAGATTTCATGGATCCGATCGACCAGACGACCCGAATTCCGAGGGACACGCCCATTTACGCTGAGGTACGACTCCCCAGGACGTTCAGGGGGTTGAGTGGCTCAGTGGTTTAGGCCTCTGTACCGGCGATAGCTGGGTTGAGGCCCGACCTCGGCAGAAGAGTCACATGTGCATTGGGCCCTGGAGCAGAGCATGTTCCTCCCCCCCGAAATGCTCAAGGGGAGCCAGATAAAAAACCTGACCTTGTGCTCAAATCCCAAGCTGCACTCTTAACGGTGTCTGCGTCTCAAAATGGAGGAAGATGGGATTTGCACAAAGAAGCCCCCTACTATGTACTTATTCTTAGAAGATACTGTCGTTTAAGTCCCGCCTCCTCTGCCTGCTCCAGATTTCCAGCAACACTCTGGGAGGAATCGTTCTCCAGTTCAAAGTTACCAGCTGTTCAGCGGCTTTGGGGTTCCATCTCGGCTTGGTGTGGGATCTGCCCTTCACAGAGGTGCCCTGCCCTCCGCAAGCCTGTCGCCACAGCACCAGGCTCAGCCTCTCCCTAATGGAGCTCCCAGAGCCAGCCGATGCCAGCTGGGCCTTGGAGTGCTCCGCGCAGATGTGCGCCAACATGGTTGGTGCGCCCTCCAGTGCCAGTCTGTTTAGCGCACGAGTTTGAAAATCGAAAACAGCTGCAGTATCAAGCATATCATGCAATGTGATGGGGCTGAGGATGTAATTAAGAGACATATTCGGGGTGAAGCCTTCCAGAAACTTTGGGCCCATGGTCTAGATGTAGCTACTTTAACTCTGAAGCCCCCAGTCATTCCTGGTGGTGTCCTTCCAATTAGAACCACTTAAACCTCCATAATAGATTCAATTTTATTTAAACAATTTAAAATCTATAATATTATGCTCCCTGATTGTTCTATAATAAAATAAGTGAAAATTCTGGTGCTCAGAAATCAAACACAGACCTTGTTAGTGATTTTCTTTTTTGAATTTCCCGAATCTGTTTAATAAAATACTACAGTGTAATGTTGAGTTATGCCAGCAAGCATTGATTTAATTATATGGTCATATAAAATGCAACAGTACTTTCCAATAAATATGAAAATTAATTAAACACTTCATATTAAACTCGTTTATGGAGATCAGTCACACTATATTGTGTACAGGAAGATCTTCAGCCAGAAATTACTGGTGGATTTTACTGTTACCCCCAAAATGAAGTTTTACAACAGCTTTAATGTATGTTATTTTTATTTCTAGTTACTGAAGGTAAAAGTGTGTTTTTACATCATCCATCCATTTTCGAACAGCTTATATTTCAAAGAGACTTTCAGCAGAGTTGGAATATATGCTATTGCAGCATTATTTCCAAATTATGCTTTTCGAAAAGGTTTTGTTTTAATTCCACGGCCCTAACAGTATTTCTCTGTTCTTTCCCCAGGATAATTTTACATCTGGATGTGTAAATGTTGGCTCAGTGAGGAGAAACCTTATGGTTGCCTCATATTTATTTCCAACCAGTGAGTACAATATCTATTGCCAAACAAGTTATCCTCTGTAATCTTTTTCTTGGTTTAAGAAGACTTATCTTGGATTTTTTGACACAGAATATATGGCCTTGGCAGGTCTCACACCAGATATCATTTAATTCCTGAATGTAACTTTGTGTTAAGATACTCAGAGGTTAATAGGACAGGCAACCTGACACATACCCCAGTGCATCATTTTATTCATTGATCAGTCTGTGGCCTTTGGAAATGACCTAAGCCGCCCACATGTATTGTCCTTTTAATTCAACCAGCTGATGTGCACTTTATAAATCAGTTTGTGTAGTTCACAAAGGGCAGATACGTGATGATGTGGTTGTTTTATTTCACTGACTGTATCATCTTTAATTTCCAGGTTTACCATTTATGGAAGACAGCCAAGCGCATGTATTCAGGGAGCGTAAAGGTAGGTTTCAAGGATTAACAATTTTGCTGAATTTAAGACTACTACACAAGCACATCTTTGCTTTGTTTTTCTCTCGCAGCAATCCTTCTTCCCACAATGCATTGCTGTTGCTACATCCTACAATGGACATTTCTTTGCTACTAAATTTGGAAACAGCAATAACGTTCTGCTTCAAGTTTCACTTAACAGGGTTAGAGGACGGACAAGCCACACCTAGCTGAACATTTGGTATTATTCACCAGAGACAGATATAAATATAGGCTTTCCATGCAAAAATCTCTGAGCTGAATCTCCATGCAGCACTGTTTTGGTCGACACTTGCTCTACCAAACGTATAAGAGTTATGCCTATTGACCCACTTTGCCTGGACATTAGCTGAATGTCAGGGATGGCTGCTTGATCTCCTCAAAGGCTGCTACCCATGCCCTGACAGTGCCGTGCTTCATGGCACCTAGTCCATGTCTTTTCCCCAGACAGGGTTGTTCCTCTGTATGACACAGGTCCCATCGGAGAGTTGGAGGCAATGACCCAGTTTTCACCTCTGGTGTAGCTTCACACCAGAACATCTCCTTCTGGAGTGAAGTATATGACCTTTGAACTCTCGTGTGCCTTCACACTTGACATCGCTTTGCTCCACTGCTTTGTCTGTGGAGGCCTTAAGTCAAGATACATTCTCAGTTGTTTTTCTTTTAGCTGTGAAGAATTAGAACCTGTTCTTTGGGCTACTGTGTTTACAGTAAAGAAAAAGCATGTAATATATGCAATAGCATTGGGTTGTCACAAAAGAATTTTGACTTTGATACCAATATCACAGTTTTCGATAACGATATGATACTATGACAAAAATTAAAGAACATTAAAGTCCAAAGGTCAATTGGTTTATTTTATTTTTTCTATCATTTGCAACTTTTATATATACTTCAAAACAAAATACAAAACTTTCTTATAATAAAATAACCTTTAAATAAAAAATAACAGTTAAATCTTTCAGCAGTCAGCATAAATATAAAAGCTTTTCATTAACAAACAGAAGAAAATTAAATACCTAAAATAAACTTAAATATCAAAAGTAAGTTTTGTAAAATTATATTCCGATTTTAGTCATGTAACAATGCCTTCGATCTATTTAAAAAGTGTTGCAACAAAAAAAGTTTTAATTGTATGCTTAATCTTGACATGATACTTTGTTTTCTTTTAGTATTTTAAATATTAATACCATCAAAGTATTAATTACCAAGTTTTTTACCAACCAGCTGGTTTTTGAGCTCTCAGTAATGGTTGGGACGGTGGTCAGCGAGATGTTTGGCCAGGATGGAGGTGTTTCCAGTCTTGCTCTGCCCCGACTTATAATACTTTTTACACACTAGCCTGTTCATGTCTTATGAATTACAGTCTTCGTCAGCAAGATAAGCAACTTCACTACAAGCAGTCAGCATATTCCTGTATCCGTGTTTGTTCCGTCTTTAGTTTCTCACTGAACAAATTAAAGAAACTGCGGTCAGATGTGTTGCTGCGTCACGCATCCATTTGTGAATGAGCGCGATCGTGAAATCACGATGGCCAGATGGCACAGCGCCGCCGTTTAAATATGGAAGCTACCGAATGCTCTAGCACTGAATCATTTACCATTTCAAAGTATCGAAAAATACCGAAGTTTCGGTATAACAGTAGTATTACAGTAGTATTTGAATGCCTGCCAAAAGACGATGTGGTTGAGAAAGCCGTTATGAGGCAACCTGGATGTTTTCTTTCTATGCGGAATTAATGTTGCTATTCCTTTACAACTGCCGGATCCTTTCAGTGTAGCCAGAACTAGACAGAACTAGATTTGATCACGTTCCATTCTTGATCAGCTGTGTGGTGACAGGAGCACCATGTACTAGTTAGACACAGAAGGCTTCCCTTAACAAGCTGTCATGAAGTTACACTGGCAAGTGGCGACAAAGACAGGCTGCTGTCATTTCCATGCATGGTGGATTTCCTGTCCTCAATGTGTGACTTAGTGTTTGATGTTAGTGACTAACGTCGTGTGCAGTTTCCAGCAAGGGAGGGGATACACTTTATTCTCCGCAGTTCTTATCAGTTCCTATGAACGAGCATTTTATTGGTTGTCAGCAGGGATCATCAACCTGTCTGTATGCAGACAAACGTGTCCCAGGCAAGACTGGTCTGTGTCTTTGGCAAGATGTTTTGATTGAGAAAAAAAAAACTATGCAGGTTACGTTTGTAAATACCAAATCAGTGGTAAGAATTGCACTTTGATCAAAATGTCCATCGGAATTTGCCGTGGTCGCGGCTCATGTTTTTCAGTACTGCAGTCTTTCCTAATCCAGTCCGCGGGGACCCACAGACAGTACACGTTTTTGGGCTGGGAGGGAGCAAAAATGTGGACTGTCTGACAGGGAGCTGAAAGGGAGCAAAAACATGGAGCATCTGTGGGTCCCAGAGGACTGTGTTAAGTTCTTCAACATCAGTAGTGACCCAGATAATCTTGAAAAAGTGCCATTTCCCCTTTTCTGCTTTTTTTGTGTGGCACCAATGGTTTTTAGATGCTCTTTGTTATTCCTGAAAGTATCTAATATGGTGTCTAGTTAACTTTGGACTCTGGGAAGGCTAATTAGCATTAGCACACTGCCTTTGGGAAATAAGATCATCAACGAGCATCAACCAAATGGACCATCAAGCTCTGCTTGCACAATTTTAACTAGAAAGGAAAAGATTACAATATAATGACGATAGTTTATTTGCCATCTGTACAAGCACAAGCATTTAGGACTTCTTTGGCTTTTGCATATCCCATCTTGCTCTCCTATGAGAGCAGGGTAGGGGTCGGGGCAGGGTACTGGGCCATTTTTCTGGCACCCCAGAGCAGTTTTTTGGGTTAAGGGCCTTGTTCAAAGCCCCAACGGCAATAAGATTACTCTGCTAGCTATGGGATTCAAGCCAGTGACCTTCCGAATACAGGCACAGACTTCTAGCCTACAGAGTCATGCAGCTGGGGAGCCTACTCAGCCTTTGTCCCATTGGCTCCCGGAAAAGCACAGGCAGATGACACCTCAGCGCGCCCTTGTGTCCTCCTTGTCAACAAGCATTTGCAACTGCGCTCGGTGAAAGTCTGCTCCTCGACTTTCTTTGTCTTGTTGTGTTGCGTTAAAATCTGCCCACGTGAGGACAGCGGTGTCTCGTTCTGAGGTTTTAGTGTCGCATGGGTTAGCAGCACATTGCGCAGCTTGCTGCAGTCAGTAATGCGACTGTATCTAGCTCCGTGTTTATCTGTTTCACATTCAATGTTGGAATCAAGCCGTGAACTGCAGAATTCTCATCCATCGTTAAGACCCGGTTTGGCAGTTGTTCTTCAGAGCCTGTATTGCGCTGTATCTGGTTTTTATCCCGCAGGCTTTCTCTGGCAGGGGTCATGTCCATAATGTTTTCTGCTGCCCTGTTCTGTGTGGAATTGTCTCACACACTTCCCATTTGCATGAGAGTGTTCTGGTATGAGGATTTATAATTCACAGTATTGACTTACGCCAACAGTCCTGCCATCTCCTGTGCCATTGATTTACTTTCCCCAAGTTCCTCTTATGGTCTTTGAATTAGTCATGATGACCAGGGACTTTAGAGAACAGTGTGATTCCGGCAATTTAACAATATCTTCATGAAACTTCCAGGTTTTCCTGGCTGTGATAAGTTCCTGAGTGAGCTAAGTTTAAGCTCCGAGGACAATATGAAGGTCTTTGTTGCTTTATATCAGAAAGGATGTGAGATCTTAAACTGATTACAGTATAGTAGACAACTTAATAACTACTTTAATATGATATTTAATGATTGGTAAAATAGTTGTCAGGACTAACTATATATACAGCATTTTGTTCTGTATTAATATGAATTTATCAGTGTTGCGGTGATTTAATAGTTTGGTTTCTTCTGTATAGAAAAGATATTTTCCGTAACACTTAAGGCCATGTTTTTAGTAACTTATAAACACATTCATAATGTATTATAATGCATTCATAAAGCATTACAAATATGACTATAAATATTTATAAAAAGACATGACACATTATAGCCACGTTTGTTATACATTATGAATGCTTTATGAAGCTCTCATCTATCATGCACTATAGATACCTTCATAATGCATAATACATATAGCTAAGCCTTTTGAAAAATGTTTATAGCCACGTTTGTACTGCTTTTTGAATGCATTATAATCACATGGCCTTATGTATAACTGTATTTTTTGAGTCTGAGTTATTTTTTAATTGTAACGGTTTGCATTTGCATTCAGTTCATCAAATTTTTCTCGGGTAACGGTTTCTGCTGCTGTGTGCCCCGTATTCTCCTCTGTAGACACAGGAGCCCCCTCTCTCTCTTTTCACCCAGACATTGGGCCCAGCCAGCCCGCTCCGGATAGCCAGAAAGACCAGGTACCTCTGCTGATGCAGCTGTTCACCTCCACGGATTTCAGCGATCCGATCGACCCGATGACCCGGGTTCCGAGCGACAAGCCCCTTTATGCTGAGGTATGACAGGCCTCCCCAGGACTGTTGACACCCCCTCCTGCTGTCCATATACAGAAAAGTGTGTGACTCTTAAGCAGCAGCCAGCATAAACCCATCAGTCCCACCAGCTTCCATAGCAATTTAACCAGTACAGAGCCACGGTGAGGCACAAGGCTGGGGACACCCTAGACCAGTGTTTCCCAGTTCAGTTCATGGGGACCCACAGACAGTGCACATTTTTGCCTGTAGGAACTGGGAGCGAACAGAAATGTGGACTGTCGGGCAGGGAGCTCAGAGGGGGCAAAAATGTGGACTGTGGCAGGGAGCTCAGAGGGAGCAAAAACGTGGACCGACTGTGGTTCACCAAGGACCGGATTGGGAAACACTGCCTTAGACAGGATGGAAACCCCATCACGGGGCACAGATTCATATATGTGATAAAGCACTAAGCTTAAACAGCATCTTTGGACTGTGGGAGGATGCTGGTGCACCGTAAGGAAGCCGTACATTTACATATTTAGCGGATGCTTTTGTCCAAAGAGAGGTTCAGAGAGCAGGGGGGCAGACAGTGTTCCTGGAGCAATTGGGGATAAGGGTCTTGCTCAATGGCCCAAATGGTTAAATTATTCTGCCGGTCATTAGATTAGAACCAGCAGCCCTCCAATGCAGAGTCCGAACCCACAGAGCCACACGTGACCCTCCCCTACCCACAGACACCCAGATCTGCATAGGCAGAACATGCAAACTCAGATCACGACCTTGACGGTCTGAGACCACAGTGCAACCCACACTCTTAGACAAAAGGGAAAAAATTTGTTTTGCTTTGCACTGGGTCTGTACCCTTGTAACTGTACATTTTAAGGTACAGAAATGGACTCTGAGGAACATCCCAAAGGTACAAACAGCATTAATGTACCATCAATGTTACAAAAATGTTCCTCAAAGTCCATATCTGTACCTTAAAAGGTACATTTACCTACAGCTAAGGGTACAATTGGCAGACACTTGAGGGTACAGCCTCAGTGACAAGCAAAGGTACAAATTTTAGAAAAAAGAAAAGGTACAAATCTTTACCCTTTTTTTCTAAGAGCCTATCCAAATCACAGAATATAAATATTTGGTTGTATTTTATTGTATTAGGTGCTTTTGCCTGTACTGTAGCTGGCTACTCGCAGCTCCTTACGTCTTTTGGTACCTCGCCCGCTACAGGTTGCCTACCGCACGCTGGGCGACATCAGCATGTCCGTCTATCTCCAAGTGACCACGTGCATAGTGACCTCAAGGTCCAGCTGCGACGCCAGCCTGAGCCTGCCCTTCACCACCGAGCGCTGCCCGGCCAAAGTCTGCCCCCACAGCGTCCGGCTCGGCTTCTCCCTCCTGCCCCTCCAGCATTTGCGCCCCAGCAGCTGGTTCCTGGAGTGTCCCGTCCAGATGTGCTTCCCAGAGGTCAGTGTGCCTGCCAGGCAGCCCTCCGCGTGTCACACTCCTTTCCCAGCAGGCCGTGCGTTGTCAGTCAATTCCATCATCCCCAAGTAGCAGCATGACATTGCGCTGCATCGTCAGTCGTATGACGTAGCGTGATGAGTTTGAGAAGGAGGAATCGGTGCCAGGAACCTACTGGAAAGCTGATAGCTCCAAGTGTCATTATCCCCACCCAGATACCCCACGTCTCTCCCGCTCAGTGGAGAGAGGCACGGCCTCAGGGTGACATATTACCAGCTGGTTTTGGTAACACTTTACTCAAGGTCCAGTCTTTAGTAATTCATAAACAATTTCATAGCAAGTAATAATGCATTATAATGCTTGGTATAAGCATTAAGGGTGCTTTGTACTGCATTATAAAGTATTATATAGTGCATTATAGATGAGAGCTTCATATGACCCGCAAGGTTGACCCACATCCCTAGAGTAAAGGGCTACGCTCAAGGGCCCAATGGTGGCATCATTTAGCCGGTCACAGGATTTACAGAAGCCCCTTTTCATCCTGATCCACTGAGCCGCACACCAGCCCCACATTATGCAACTATGCACTTTTTGTCAAATTATATAACATAATACATAGAATACTAGGTTATATATGTGTGTCTCGGATCATGTTTTATCTTAATTATGCAAGTGAATCCAACGCAATCAATTAAGGCAGAACAATAGCAGTGTGCAATAGCTCAATTTTTGCTGATTGTTTTTTATCTTTCATCAGGGGAATTATCAATGCATAGATGTTGGCTCCGTGAAGAGAAACTTAGAGATCACCAGAGCATCCTTATCTCCAGCCAGTGAGTATCTGACCAGAGAGCTTTGTCTAGACTGAAAACCGTAGCACGAGAGAATATTTTGTTCTCTTGCATTTGAGAAACAATCTGCATCATATTATTCATTCACTTTGCTTTTCTTCTTGTTCAAAATGAACAAAAAACAGTGTAACTCACTGAATTTAAATGAGAAAAAAAACACCCTTTGCCTTGAACTCCAAAGACTTCCTTTCAGCGGTCGCCCTACGACGTGTGATGGCCGTTGGCTGTCGTCAAGTTGGCGACTCCGGGATGTCTGCTGGGGCTGGGGGGCGGTGGGGGTTCACCTCCGGAAGCTTCTGTTGCCTGACCTCCTGGTCGCAATCAGGAATGGGGGGAGCGAGAGGGTGGGGGCGGATTCTCTTTAAAGCGAAGCGCGTGCCTTGTCAACGGCGTCAGACGCTACTGCTTTCCGCTGATCCAGAAGCGATTCGGGGGGGGGGGGTCGGTCACCTGTGCTTCTGTCCGCCTCACTGTCCCGTTGTCTCGTACAAGTCAACTGATTTTTTCCTGCATCTGTATTTTTTTGGTGACCCTTTATAGAAGGCGATTAGCATTGGCTCTGGGTGGAAATAAATAGGTGTGGACGTGATGTTTGTTTTTGTCTGTTTTTTTTCCTCTGTTTCGTGTCCTGGAATGGGGTTGTGACTTCAGGGACAATAGGGTTTGCTGGGGTGAGGACTGAAGCCAGCAGGGGAAGCCTAAAGCTTCCTGCTGTGAAATAGCCCTCGTGCGGCTGCTTAGTGACCTTAAAAACCCGCCAGGCGCCGATGCCAATGACATCACTAGCAGGGCCGGGTTCGCTTCTTCCCTGTCAGTCATCCTGCTTTGGCCCCAGCAGATGCACGGCGGCCATCGAGTCCACAAGGGATCATTCAGCTTCACTTCTTATTTCCTTTCAGATCTTTGACTCGTTTCTTTTGTAACAGTCGTCTTTATGATAGAGGGCTGATTTACTGCACCCCCGAACCCTCCCGATTCCCCCCAAGAAGACAGAAATCCGAGCCCCTCCTTCGCAGGCCACCTGCTTCCTGTGCCTGCTTCCACAGCTATTAGGTGACACTTCAGAATAAGCAAAAAATAAACATTTTTCCATGATTTGATTTGGTCATGTGATACAGGCCTTTTTTAAAGATATAGAAATATTAGATAGATAGATAGATAGATAGATAGATAGATAGATAGATAGATAGATAGATAGATAGATAGAATCCCAGTTATTCATTTTGGTGTAGCTATATATAGGAAATATATAACTATAGCTGTATAAGAACTGGAGGCCAAGAGAAACAAAATGGAGCATCTTTTAGCACAGAAGGCCGAACTCCATGTGCGCTTAGACTGTGAGGACCAGCTGGGAAGGTCACAGTGTAAGTGAGAGCCTTTCAAGGTCAGTGCCTCTTAGGGCCTGGCGATTAGCTGGCTGACTCTGTCCCGTGATCCACATCAGGGCTCAGAGCAGTCAGAAGAGGGAGGGCCTACAAGCCCACTGGTTATGGCGAGAGTGGGGGGGGGGGGGCGTCCCCGGCACCTGCTGCTGGCTTGTTTGGCTTTGTTGGGAAAAGAACGGGGGCTGGTGGTGGGTGGGGGGGGGTTGTGCTCTTGGAGGGATGAGGCAGAAGGTTGACCGTGATGTCCTTTAACCAGAATAGCTGTCAGATTACATCACGTAACCAAGTAACTTCACGGACATCTTTTTTATTCAAACAAAGCGACTTGTGAAGGCGATGTTCATTCGCCTGTACAGCTGGGTATTTCAATGAATGAGTGCATTTTTAGGAAGTTCATACGCTGCCCTCTGGGCTTCTGTTTACTTTAGCTGAAACCAGTTTTTGACATTTGTTTGATGGCAATAAATTCGGCAGCCAGCCTGCTTGGATGTTCCTTGCCCCCTACACCGCCTCCCATAACCCCCCCGCCCTTCGTGTAGAAGTCCTCCTACATGCCTGGCTCATTGCCCTGGTCTTTGACATAACAGACGTTGTGAAGATGACAAACAGAGTAGTGTTTAGCAAGAAGTCGTATCTGAAATTAAACACGACCCTGATAGGAAGCCTACAGGAAGTGTATCATTGCAGTACTCTGCTTATCCTAACGCGTTGCATCTGTCGTTTTCAGGGCAGTGTGTTGATTTTGGTCCCTCTGCTGTCCTGGGGGTGGCTTTCGGGGGGTTCCTGACTGGCGTGGTCTTCGTGGGAATTCTGTGGTTCATCAGAACGCGTACTGGTGAGTTCTCAGTCCTGCTTTCCTGCCACAGAACTTTTGTCAGGATCTAAAATCAGCAAGATTGCAGATTCCAGATGCTGTTTTTCTTTGGCATTGCTAGATGTAACGCCTTGGCCAACAGTATAAGACAGAGACAAAAATTGTATAAAAAATTTGATCAAGCCAGGGCATGGAATCAGTCCATACAGGGGTGCATGGTTTTATTAAATATTATATATATCACATATGATGCATTTAATCAACCGAAAATGCATTTTCACCCCCTCCAAATACATGCAACCAGCCCTATGATTTTGCAAGACATCACTGTAAAAAAGCTAATTTCCAAACAGCATTGGAATCCAGATTTCACCTATGGGTCCAAGCAATTAGAGGTGGCGGAACCAACTAATAAGATGTTGGACCCACCTCCTCTACAATCCGATTGGTTACCTCTCTGAACCAATCATTGTTCATTCTGCCCTCAGAACATTTTTGTGTAAGTAAAACTCAACCATGAGCCTCAGTAACAGCAGATAGAGACAAACAGGTTCAGAACCGTCAGCGCAGCCTCAGGGGTGGGTTTGTTGTTTCTGTGGGCCCACTCAAAAAGTCACTTCAGGGCCATCAGATCCAGGTAAACACTGCCGCAGTGTAACATGCTGTTCTGGGCTAAACTGTACGGCATGTGCTGATCCAGTGACTTCACCTTCTCACTCACTGATGCCTCTTTTGTTTTTTTTTTCACTAAGGGTGATGCCTCTTTTGTGTTTTTCATGAAGGGTGTCCCCGTTTGCAAACCAAGCGGGACCCGGTCTCTGCCATCCCACCCCCTTCTGAAAACAGCAGCGCCAATGGCAGCATCGATAGCACCCAAAGCACCCCCACCAGCAGCATGGCGTAGGGAGGCCCTCTCAGCTGGGTGCTGTCCACCACACCTCCTGTAGGAAGTGCGGGAGGTAGGGGCTGGAGAGGTATGGTTAACTTTTGGGGGGAAAGTTCTGATCTACCCTCCCAAAGTCATCTCCCAGACCTCTTAGCAAAACAAGACATGGGAAGTCAAGAGAAAGGTCTGCTTCAAGCAACAGGAAAAGCAAAGACTATCCCCCAAGGACTAACAGGAAATTTGTTACATTCTTTTTAATAAGCACTGGTGCTCCAATAGCCACTCAATAAGATGTCTACAGAAAAAAGCCAAAGATAGTCTGTCAGACATTGTGCAGCACACTGTTTTGCCCTATGGTGGCTTCCGTAGATTTGGCAAGACATTAGTAACTATTTTGAATAATCTAGACACAGAGATTTTAACTTCCTGTTTCCCATCAGGATGGTCCGTCATCTTTAAAAAAGTTTTCTCTCGTGATATATTTATCTTCTGTGGGTTTACCACTTTCCATGTAATTAAGGTTGTCTGTTATCAGACTGAAGGTCGTTTTGGAAAAGGCTACCTCTAACTTCTGCATGATTGTAACCATAATGCTTTCGTCTTGGTTGATACCCTACATGAGCCTTGTTGCGTTAGTCGCCTTAAGTTAGGCTGTCTTCCCTTGTTTTTTTGTGCCTCCACATCATCATTGACGGAAATTGCTGGGCAATATGTCGTAAAAAGGCACCCTTAGTGTCGACGAGAATCGGATGCCTTTAGTAGAATCTTCTATAAGTTGTTCTCCTCAAATGCCAAATAGAGAAGTAACCACATATTTTTTAAGATGTTATCAGATAACAAAAATATTAATCTCAGGTTACACTTTCTTGCCTTTTTTTTTATATTCGAGAGTGATACATGGCTAGTATTTGACCAAAGTTGAAATGAGAGACTGAATGAAAAGTAAATGTCTATATATATATATTGTTTTTGTGTCTTATTGTCCAGAAAATATGAACTTATGAGATTTGTATCCTCAGTTAAATGTACTTTGTTCTTTGATCTGGCTGGGAACAAAGAAATTTTTCAACCCTGGTGAGGATGTCGAGCACTACAATATACATGACTTTTTTTTTTTTTTAAATGTCATAAACCTTTGCTGCATTTCCTGGAATTTCAATTTTGGTATCTTGACTCTTGCATCTTGACTCTTTAGATTTTTTTTTCCGAATGACTTCTTAATCGTTTTCTGATTCTTTTCAGTAAGTACTGTACAGTTTGAAAATTGAACATTCACTTGATGTAGCTTAACACAAGATATATGTCACACGTAAATGTTTTTCACTTAATGTTGGTGTATTGAGGTCGGGTGACACTTTACATTGTGTTTCTCTTTCTATATGTGTAGTGTGTTGCGTGCATGTGTGTGCGTGAGAAAAAAGAAGAAAGATAGATTTTGTGTGAACACAAGGTGTGGGCAAGTGGAGGGAATATTAGATAAATATTTGCCACTTGAGTTGGTGCAATATTTTGAAGTATACATTTATGTTACATAGTATTTCAAGTATCTCCTATTTCATAATAATTTTATTCCTGTGTTGTTAGTTACTTTCTTACTTGTAATGGCTATTCAATGGTCTAAATCAGTGTTTCCCAACCCAGTCCTTGGGGAACCCCGGACAGTCCATGTTTTCGCTTCCTGTAAGCTCCCAGCCCACCTGTACCAGGGAACTGGGAAGGAGCAAAAATGTGTACTGTCCGGGGTTCTCCAAGGACTGGGTTGGGAAACACTGGTCTAAATCATTTTGAGCTTAATGCCAAAATACATGTGTCTTCTAATGAAAAATGTAACTGTCCCCACTTAGGACTGATTGTGCAGCCGTGTGTCTGCTGTTAACCTTCTCTCCCATTGTGTACTGTGGAGCCATGATCTGTGCTGTACAACAAAGAGCGATTGCTGGTCAAAACTTGGCGGTTAACCTAGTCATCTCTGACAGTCCGCAGTCCCTCTCTTGGGCCTGTTCATCCATACCCTCAAGAAGGGAGACTCACAGCATAGAGTGGAGATGATCTGGTTGGCATGGAAATTTTTTGGCCTGGAGTGACAGACCTTCCTTGGGAAGGACGTCAAGACAGACATTTGGAGGGGGGCTGAGGGGGTGATTGAGAGGCACGTGGAGGGGGAGTCACACAATCCATCAGCCCATTTGCTCCTCGTCACCGTGGCTCTCTTCTTGACCTCGGTCAAGTCTTTCACTCTGAGAGATACTACATCACCGGGCAAATCACTAACTCTGCATAAGAAGCACAATTTTGCCTGTTTGTGTAACAGTATCGTCTCGTGAGGAAAGGACACAGGGTGGAGGGCAGGGCCCCAAGACATCGCTTGGGTGGTTTCAGGGAAGCGACACAGCTGACAGCTTTGGGACCCGTCCAAACAGTTTACAAGACGACCAGCGCTGAACCCCCCCCAGCCCGCTGCCCGGAGACAGCACCACACACATCTCTGTCAGTGTATTGTATGTCTCTCCTTATTTTAAGCAGGTGAGACAACGTTATGTGCTGACCAGAGTGTGGAATTTTCCAGACTTTTCTGGAAGGGAGGCTCTCTCTCTCTTCGTCACTGTTGTGTGTCTTCAGAAATGCCCTTGCAAAGCCTTGCCTCACTCATCGATAATTGCAAATTCACTTTATTTTGTAAAGGTGTCTTTTATATAATTTTCATTGTATACAAACAGACATAAATAAACTAATCTAAGTACGCTTGTTGTATTCATTACTGCTGATATACCAGCATGGGTTTCCTCTCGTTGTTTATAGACAGTATGAGTAATCAGACCACGTTCTTCCTCCAAGTCCTGCACCAATATATATTTTATCTATGGTCTGTTTCTTACTTCCCATTAAATATCAAGCACACATATCTGCATTATTAGATAGATTAATTAAAACCAAGCAGTAAGACATCTATCAAGAATCTAAAATACTTTATTAATTTCTGGACTGGAGCTGAATTGCTGAAGTGCTCTTTAAATGAATGCTTACAAACATTACACTTGGTATATTTATTATTCAGAGCAGAGCTAATGATAAAAATAACACATGAATCCAAAATTTTATAAATGAAGGTTAATGCAAAGCAATAGTAATACGTAAATAATGGAAAACAGGCTTCCATCACTCACCTGTTTAGCACTTCCTTGAAGCAGACTAATCTCTGTTTCCATCTTGACATCCAGCTCACCGGGTCTGGCACCTTATTACCACAATCAGCTTAAGTCTCCAAGTGGCTTTTCCTTTGGACACTTTCTTGGTTCAGAATCATGCTGCAAAATTTTGCTTATGTTGACTGCCACCTTGTGGTTTGTGCTATATATTGCAATGGATTCACCTGCGGAAGAAAAAAACATTTTTGTTCGGATGCATAATTTAAAATGTGGTAATATGGGGTTTCTGAAGACGAGTAAGAATGCGTTTTACATATTAGAGGCTGAAATGTAGAGCAACCATTGGCTGCTGATTGATTAAAATGTTACTGTTCTTGCAAATAAGACCTCTATAGAATGGGGAAAAAAATCAAATTGATAGCTTTATAAATTATGTCATCTATGTTTCATGGACCGTGGACTTGATTTTGAATCTTCTGCAGTGAAATGATTTATTGACCTCAGACTGCTCTGTTATTAATTGAGCAATTAACACTAATGGTTCAATGCTTCCTGTAGTCTCACACAGTCATCAGTCAACAACAGGTCTTTCATCTACAGGCGTGTCATGCCTCGATTTGTTTAGCTGTGTCAATCAGCTATTTTAATCTACTGCAATTTTCAGTTTCTTTTGCCAAACCCTGATGGAATGGGTCAAATTTACCACAGGAGATGTTGGCCGGGTTGGGTGTGTTGGTCTTCATTGTGCGAACTTCGCAGACGTTTTGCAGATCTCGTCTCTGACTGATGAAGAATGATAGGGGATTCTTGCTTGCTGATGTCAGATCTGAGGTGAAGGCAGTGAAGTATGGCAACTGTTTTGGAGGGTCAGAAGCAATATTTCAATGGTTTGTCCCATCGGCGCCACTGTCCAAAACTCAGGGAGTGCATCTCCTGGCAGTAGTTCAGTTTGATAAATGGAAGCCATTGCATGGACAAAGAGCCATTCCAATGACCTTGACTGCAGCTGCGCATCCGTGACGTGACTGCAGGAACCCAATCCCACCCCGCCCAGTTTTTTCATAGCATTCGGCTGCAGCTGTAGTACATCTGTGAGGTGACAGTGCAGGTGTTTTGCTTACGCTAGCTCCTGTGGAGCCTGCTGATGGGACCCCAGAGGGACTGGGCTTATGGGATACATCCCAGAGGCCCATTTGACTCCCCAGCCACGTGCCAGATGCACGCCTCAACAGAGATTACCGTCTGCGCAGCGGAGCACGCTCAGAAATCAGTTGCAGTGTTAATGTACTGTGGTATTACTTTTAAGTTGCTTGGAGACAGATAAAGACTCAATTTCTCTATTAGGAGGTAACTCAGGTTCTCTGACACTGTCACACTTAGAGGGGAATGTCAGGTGCTCAGTAGCCCAGAGGTCTAGTGCTGCACCACGATAATTTGTCACCCGAGTCATTCATACATCATAATTTTTAGTCCTTGACGGGGTTGTTGTTGGCATGGCAACCTTGATGTCGGCCAGGTATGGTAACGTGCACCATCCCATTGAAGCAATTGAATAAACAGGTGATAGAAATGCCTATCTGCATGCATGCGTGCACAAGAGTTCACGAGTGGGTTTAAGAAGGATCCTGCTCTTAGCGGCATGCTGAAGTTGCCATGACAACTCAGGGCACTAAATAGGACCGGCCGTTAGAAGTGGTCTTTACACCACGCCTGGTCTTCAAAATTCAATAAAACCTGTGTTGTCATAATGTTACACGAATCAGAGGCAATTAAAGTTTAATAGGACGTTCTAGCAGTGGGTTGGATGCTAAGTGGGCTAGCTAAATTACACAAGGACAAGGAGCTACATTAGACGTTTTTTTAATTATACAGTACTACTGTCACATAGCAGGCTATATTGTCTCACTGATCACTGAAAAATTGGCTGAAATGCGAGGCCACATTAGTTAAATGGATAGATATGTGCTGTATTATCCACGTTACTAAAATAAATGCAGCTGAATTGGGTATAGTTACTCATATCCTACAAACGGACTGCAGTATAGGAGCGATAAAATAATTTACATCTAGAAAACTGCCAAATCTGGAATAACAAGGTCCTATACAATGTATGTACATTACTGTGGTAATAGAGTATAGCTCTCATCACAAAAAAAAAATAAATGTGACATAATTTTGGGTTTTCAATGAAAAAATAAGAAAATAACCTAGATTTTACATAAAACATAAAAAAACAATGTAGCTGATGTCAGGATTAAATTACATCTAGAGTGTTACTTCCATCCGTCCGTCCATCCATCCATCCATCCATCCATCCATCCATCCATCCAAATCTAGACTGATCTCAGGTTCCCAAAAGGTAGCCTTAAGTATGCTTTGTGGATTCGAGGAGAAACACCACTTTCATGTTCGAATCGATATGTTTAGGTACATCAGTGCCAGCGTGGGGGCCTGAGCACAATGAATATCGGTACTTCAAAGGATTATGATTTCAAATTGGAGAAAAGAAGAAGGAAAAGGTAGCACATGTGTTTCCTGGGAAGACCTACTGTGACCCAGAGCTGCTAAAGTGGATGGATGGATGGATGGAACTACAAGAAGAAAAACAGCAGGAATAAGACAGAGAAAAACTCTCATTACTGCCCCAATCAGTGTGATGAACCCATCCAAGATATCGGGATTGTGACAAGTTTAAAATGGGTCGTGCACATCCCGTACCACTGACAGAGTGGAGAATCGTGCTTCCAGGAGAGAAAAATCTGGACAGACTGCTGCCCACAGACTGTTCATGAGATGTGGAGACGCCTGTGCGTCGGCCCAGTGAAGCAGGACGAGCCGGCAGTGGATAACGGGGCTGTGGAGAAAAGTGATATAATCGGACATAATAGCCTTTCATAAGATCTTGACGAATGGACATGTTCACAGGTGACAAAAAGCTGGGCCAGTTAGAGGTGCTTTTTGGGTGTTTTAGCAGAGACTGTATGTGTTTCCTCTGTCAAGAGGCAGGACAGAATGACACGTGGCCTTACAGAGTGTCAGCCAGGATTTCAGCATGCAGAGCTTTTGCTTTCCTCCAGTATGCAAACAATGCTAATCCAGATGTTTCTCCTCAAACATTTTTGGACTGTATGTATGGTGTATGTATGGTTTTTTGCTTGATTGTGCTAAGACAAATTATCCATCCATCCATCCATCCATTAAAAATCACCAATAGCTTAGAGCCTATCCCAGGAAGCACAATGACCGGTACTTCCTGGATTGGAGGATAGTTCATCACAGGTCATAAATTCTTACAAATTCATTTTATTTACAATTTTACTGAACTTTGATTGTGTGGAATGGAAAGTTCCAAACTTCACAAACCCAAAATTGAACAGCTAACTTTTGAATTACGAATGAATGAATGTATGATACATTTCTAGGTAAAGCTTCACATTAACTGCACCTTCACAATGCATTTATAATGTATTCATAGAACATTCACAAGCAGCATGTAAGTAAACCTTACACACTAGCATACTGTAACAGCTTAAATTTACATTAACAGCAAATATTATATGATAATAATAAACATAATAGTACAATCATATAATGCTTTGTTCTGCACCAATACACACTCCACACAGTAGCTAAGGTGGTGAAGGGGCATGAGAGAATTCACCAGTTAGATACAGTATAGGGGATGACTGGGAAGCCAGATTTTCGAAAGCACCACAGTGGGCAATTTTAGCCAAGACATTGGGGTACCCCCCTACTCTTTGGAAAGATGCCCTGGGATCTTTTAGGACCTCAGTTTTGCATCTATTATTTCATGCAATGATTTGTCTGCCTTCATTGACTGACTTCCTTTGGTCATAACAGAAAGTTGTACATGGATGTGCAACATGGGCATTTTTGCTTTGCATGTGAGTCAATGCGGTATTTTATTACCTAGAACAAGCTTTTATGCCCCACACTTAATGATAACATTTAATCGCTTAAGCCAGACCACACAGTGTTGGAAGAAACAACGCTTTGAAAGCCGCAGCGGACAGGTTTGTAGCATGCTTGTGATTACTGCCTGATTTGACTCAAGGGAAACCAATAATGTAACTAATTCCAAAATTCTAATATCACCACATCAGAAAGAATACGGAGAACGGCAGATATTTTAGTTCAATACACCTATCCTTCGAACAACTGTGCAAAACAATAAAAACATCTGTAGTTTTAAAAAAAAGTCTTTTAGGTTAAACCACCGAGGTATGACCAATTACTTTTGAAGTACTCGTAGAACAATGCAGCTATCAAAAATCAGCAAGCCTAGCACAAATCAAGTGAAAATAATACCTAATACAGCAGCTAGATAAAATGTTAGCATACGTCTAGATGCATTTTATATGCAACTGTAAGGGCCTGTCCCAGTTTTTCAGGAACCTCATCCTCGACTCCACTCCTTCATTTACATGTGAGTACAAGGCTTCATAATCCATTGGTTGTCTCTATATGTAGTTGGAGAAATTTAATCAAAGGTAAAAAGCTTATTAAACCTTCCTCCATCATTTCAAATGCACTTTGCTATCAGATTCTCTGAGCTATAATTTGACACATGCATT